AGAAGATGTTTTTACAACAGTGTTTGTGCTTACAGGAAAGTCTCTTTCAGCTATAATGTTTTGTGCTTTTTCCAAAATGCCTAAGAATTGTTTGAGAAAACTTAATACGGTAAAGAATCATTAATTACTGAGAGACAAAATATGATCCAGCAGCAATATAAGATTTAGCTTGAATTTTAATTCAGGGGGAAAATGCACATGCAGTTTATTTTGTGGTTTCCTGATGGATGAAATTATATCATGTTTCTGTAAATTTTGTTGAACACTGAATTATGTACAGATTCTTTTTCATGTAGGTATGAAGCCTCATTGTTAATGCTTTGAAAAAGAGGATACAAATAAAACATATGGTTTCAGACACAGTCACATGGAGCAGGTGTTTAAATTTAAAATAATACTTTGCTGTATGTACATGTGAAGATGATTATTATAAACTGAATTATTACTTCCTCACAGACTTACACCAACTCAGGAGAGATGGCCCTTCTTATGAAAAATTACTAGGTTAGGAATGAATCATTTTGTTTCTGTTTTATAAACTTTTTTCATTTACAGCAACAGGTTCTCTCTTTGTATTGTGCCCAAAGGATGGAAAATGCTCCAGCAGTATGATACACCCCATTGTTGACTGATGGAGGATGAAGCTGGTACAGGACTTTCTTAGTGGTATTTCAGGGTGCAATACATTCTTGGAAATTGATTTAAAAAAAAATTCATTTTGCTTCCTCTTATTAGAGTCAGTGATTTCTCTACTTTTAGCAGCCTTCTCCTATCTCTGACTCATTAATAGCAATGAGTCTTGCTTTTGCTAATGCAGCTATGTATCTTCAATGTGCCTGTTTCCAATCTGAGGGTATGCCCAGTGGATATGACAAATGGAGAAAATGCACTTACTGTTTTACAGCTATGTGCTTTGAGTTGAGCTTGCAATCTTAAACCGGCATTGCTTTATTCTGTTCTCTATTCATCATCCAGGGATAATTGCCTTGTTTCTACTTGATTCATGTTGAAGTCCTTTGTTTTCTCTAAATAACCAATTTTTTCATGTTCAGTTATTTGAGCTCTTTCTCCAGATTTTCTTATAACTCTCTGCAATATGGAGAGAATCATGATTGCTAGGCTGTGCTCCCTTGTAATAGCTTTTATAGTGCTCACACTAATCTCTAAAGCAACTGGATTCCTGAAGCATCATAATTACCGTCTCTGGAGGTGAAGTAGAGCTTCTTGTTCTGTTATGCTGTGCTAACATTTGAGTGTGTTAACATGACACTCCAGTGGGTTTTTAGAAATATCCTTCTTTAATGTACAGCAGTACATTCCAGCGCTAACTAGAAGTTACCTCACATTGTTTGCTTAGCCACTTCTGCTTCCACTGTTCACACTCCCCATGCTCCAGCCCTCACACTGCTTATATGTGTTCTTAAAGGACTACCTAGCTGCACACACTGTTTTGAAGCTGTGATACTTTATATATGAAAAAGGGAACACAGCCATGATTAAGACTTGCCTTGCTTCTGCTAAGCATCTCTGGAAGTACAGAATGGTGTCTGGTCCAGTCAGTCTGTCTGTCTGTCCTCTGCAATGTGTTGAATAGTTGTGTACTGTGGTATTAAAATGTGGCTTAATCAGGGAATGGCTCAGATGGTTGGGTAGGGCTGAGGGAGGGAGCTGGACACGATTTATATTGTGCATGCCCTTTGACCACTGCTAAGTTTGGTTAGTAAGTAAGAGGACCTATGCAATCATGATATCTTTGATGTGATATTTAACTTTGGGTGATTTTCAACCAGCTTTTCAGATGCATGGCTCTTAAATTTTGTAGTTATTTTGCAATGGCCACAGCTGCATTATACAGCAGGTTACTATATTCACAGAAGTAGATCTACTAAGAAGAAAGAAATTGGCTTAAGTCCTTCATTTTTTAAATTAAGATCTGTATTGCTTCTTTCACTAATTACTGACATATTGACAGAACGGCATCTTTACAGCTGCATTTGTGGAGAAAATGCTTTACTACACTGTTTACAAATATTTAAAAAACCTGCTATGTTGTGCAGCTGAGGGCATACTTTATAAAGAACCTAAACACACACACAAGAGAAATGTTACAGATGTACAGTAGTGGATCCAAAGAACTACCACGTCCCTTACTGTGGATGTGAAAAGTCAGAGATCAAGAAATACTACTGTGTGTCCATCCCCTTCCCAGCTTTTCAATCTGTGTTCCTGTAGCAAGCTGGATCCATTACTGAGAAGTAATGAGGATACCTTTTTGTGGATCAATCTGAAAGCTGAACTGCACGAGTATTCAGAAAATTTTAGTGCTCCTGAGCTGGTACTAGAAAATGCTGCTGATACAAAAGGAAATAATTTTCCACTGATGCAAGTTGCTAGTTTGGATGAGGACTAGTGTTTTAAGCACTGCCTTGCCTAAATTTGTTTTGAGCAAGACTGCAGTGTAAGTTATCATGGGGAAGTTTCAGCAGACTTTCTTAGCACTGGCCTTGGAGTCCCAGATGTGTTTGTTTTGAGAACAAGTGTTTGTTACGACACTGTTGCACTTCTGTATTTAACTTTTCTTGCATTGATCCTGTCTGAGGTACCTCATTGCTTTTTGCATCTGTCTTATAAGCACACCGAAGTTTGGTTTTTTCCCCTTTCTGTGTAAAATGCAAAGAATTTGCTTTTTTTTAATTTAGTACCTCATCCTGGGAAGTGCATGTCACAAACCAACTCCACCTTCACCTTCACCACCTGCCGCATTCTGCACCCTTCCGATGAACTCACACGAGTCACACCAAGGTAAGGGTTTCCCGTGCTGGCAAAGCCTTCAGCTCTGTCAGAGTTTTCCCTGTAAGGAAATGCAAAGTAACAGCATAAACAAAAGCATTGGCCACATTGAAGATTTACTACACATTCCTAAATTATTCCTGCCATTTTGAGTTACCTCAACCTGATTTGATTTGAGAGGCATCTGTAATGTTTTAGAAAGCCAACCAAAATCTCTTAAATTTTGTAATCTCTAGTTAAAATATTGCAGGATCAGACATAACTAAGTTGGCTTCCCATATCTAAACCTGACTACCCTTGATCCCAAACTAGTTGTAGTCCTCATGTGTGAATGTGCAGAATGTGGTATCACAAAAAAATAGGAGAGAGATTTTCCAGGGAGGAAAAAAAGCCTAAATCTTCAGTGCAGAAGAAAAAGGGATGTACAGGAAAAGAAATTCAGGAAGCACATGAGGAATTAAATACGTAAACCTGCAAGGTGGAAAGGAAGTGGACAATTATTAATGTAATTTATCTGCTTCCCTTTCTGAACAAAGTTAAGTGAATTGTGGTCTGGCTGTTTATTCTTTTTCTATCTTCCTGTCCCCTCAGCACTGTTACTGAAGAGATCCTTTGATTTGGCAGCAGTTCTGTTTTATTCTTCTTACTGTTGAATTACTGTTAATTGCAGTCATAATAAACTCCTTGATAATGTTGGTCATTAAATCTAACAAATCAGCTGTGACAGCTAAATTCAGTACATTTCTAGGTGCTTTAGTTACGCCCAAGTTCACCATTCATTCAGGAGGAGAACAAAATAAACAAGATGATGTTTTCAGCCGATATGTTTAAGGAGCTCCTCCTTACCAACCATAAACGATTCTTCACAGGTCATGTGAGGAGGATGAGGAAACGGCATTATGTCTCGTTATGCTGAGAGGAGGTATAGGGCAGACGCTATGACCCAGCGTGGCAGGGGGTGAGCAACACTGCCAGCAGCGCCTGTGTTGGCAGGGCCTTGTACAAGGAATGCCAGTGTGTGTGGCACCAGCTAACCCAGAGAGTTTTGATATTTGCCTACCTGGTTGCGTTTTAACCTAGCCTCTAACCCAGGTGATGCTCTAACCTGACTAAATTTCATCTGGCTAAATGAGGCACTCATTTATTTGTTTCTTTTCTCAATCTAACTCTGTCACTGGGCTGAGTTGCTGAGGCCAGTTTGAGTCTGTTTCTGTGGATGTGTCCAGGCTGCTCTGCAGTGTTGGTCAGTTTGCTGGGGAAAATATTTCCCGGTTAGAACCAAAATGATCAAACAAACAATAAAAAGCAACACCTACATAACAACCCCTTTCTTGCAGGAATGTCTTGTTTTTATTTTTATTGCACTGAAGTGTGTATCTTTGCTAAAAAACTAGTAGAAGTACTAATGTAAGTATCTGTGGAACTGAAATCTGGAGCTGGAAAGAATGAAGCTGTTGGAATTAATAAGCCATTGGAGTGTTGCAGTTTTCAGCTTGTGACTAGGACATCTTAGAAGCCTGATAATTAGCACCCTGTGTCTGGGTTTCCAAAGTGTACTTGGTTGTACCCTGTAGAAAGTCAGTACACACAGTAAGTTTTTTCTCTTTCTTTTCCCTCCCTCATGCTTTTCAAGACTTCTTCTGTACTTCTCTGTTTAGCCAATGTGGGAGAGGCTTCACAGTAGCTGTTGCTGCTCTTTAGGTACACCATGAACTGGAATCAGAGCTGTGAAGATGCAGCTTTAATCAATGCTTAAGAATTGTGATCTAACTTCTCCTTTCCACCCAGCCTTGCCTTCACAGTGTGTGCGTGGCCTTCAAAGCTCTGCTGTGAGGAGTCCTTCTGCCCTGCGACTAATTTAATCCAGGCAGAAGGAATAGGACCCAGTGAGAGATTGCCCTAGCACAGCTACCACATGCGCTGACAGCCACAGCACACTGGGGGTGCAAGAAGACCAATTCCAGAGCCACTTAGCAAGGCTTCATTCTAAATTACATCACTTTTAATACTCGTTTTCTCAAACGTGTTTCACTGCAGTTTACAGGTGGAATATATGGGTTTACTTGTGTTGAATTGCAACTGTAGGGTAAAAATTCATTGGCAGTTTCACTCGCTTTAATTAGAAGTTGGTACAGTTTTACATTACTGTAGAGTAATTACTTACTGTTGGATAGATCCTATTTAGCCATGGAAAGAAAGTGTGACTTCAGGCTTCATAACAGGCTAATATTTCCTTAATTAAGGAATGGCTTAAAGATTTTAAAGTACTGCTGAATTTTAGAAGATCACAGGACAAAAGTTTGTAGTGTTATATTAACTCATGTAAGCTGATGGCTGTATACCATTAGACAAAGTTCTAACCTCATCAGAAAGTGGCTTAAACCAAACCATTTCAGGATGTCTATCCTGACACTTAAAGTCATCTTGGCTTCCCAAGGCTCACTAATATAAGGTGAAATGAGACTTGCAAATTCCAGCCAAGACATCATCTAGGTTCTTTTGTCCATCTGGACAAAAAGGATGCAATTTGTGCATTGGCCTGAGGCTTCTCTATACCTGGAAATCCAACCAGCTCATCTCAGTGTGGCTTTTGGCTGCATCTCTTGGTACAGAGAACCCAACTTAAGTTAAAGTTGCACATTAAAGCTGAGCTGATCCAACAACTTGGCTCAGCTGAAAAGCGAAATTCCTGCTCTTTTCCCTGTTCTCACCTCTCCCAGCTGCTTAGTTTTCCTGCTCTCTCATTGCCTCTGGTTTTTTTTGTCTGACTCTTTGCTGAGTGTCTTCTACTTGCTGATCTGGCAAGATGAAGAGGCAGATTTCCTTCTTTGAACAGTGGTGAGGTCTCAGGTCAGTGAATTACCTGTTAGTGTCAAGTGTTGCATTGTTCAAGACCCTTTAAATGCCATTAGAGGGGGTGAATCCATGCCTAGGAAATACTATCATGGATAGTATTTGGGTATGGATATATGACAAAAATCATTTCAGCATGGTCAGAAATAGTTAAAAATCTTTTTTTGAAAGATTCATGGAACCCATGGGATTCTCCCAAATAGACATGAATTTGGAGTTTCATGGATGTCTCACATGCCTTGTTTCTGGGATAACAAAGTACACCTTATTCAGTGAGTGCTGTGCCTTGGACTGCCATAAATTTTGAGAGGGAATTACGCATAGGCAAACATGCTGTGAGTAGCCTTATCTAAATAGATCAGGAAATGGGAACAAGCTTTGTAAGGACACCAGAAACATTCAAACCTCAGTGTCCGTGAGATCTCATGTTGTAGCACAAAGGATTTGGAACATCTCCTGTGTGCTTGTAATTCTTTGTAAATAGGTGCTGTATTGATTGAGTCTGTTCTTATTCAGATGGTCAGCTTATGGGGAGAGGACAGTCTACCAGAATGAATGTTACTTGATATGATTCAAGAAATCCCAGCCCCTAATAACTAGAAGTAGTGTGCTTAAGAAAACAAAATGCAGTAAGATGGCACTGAACATAAGTATGCAATGTCTGCTACTTGTTCTAAATGTGCAGGTTATTGTTCATTTAACATTTTCTTGTCAAGTACTTGTAGATAGCTAGATTTGAGAAGGAAGAAGTGGAATTAGGGAACAATTTAGCCATGTTTCAATTTATAGAAACTAATGTTTTACCAAATTAACAGTAGAATGGCTCTGTCTTATGTAATTTGCTCCTGAGTTATCAGTTACCTACTGACAACCAAGAGCTTGACTGTATTTTCTTATTTCATTTGACTCAGATCCTCCATCCCTTTCCCCATAAATGAAAACCAATTCAGCAGAAGGGAAGAAGGGTTTGGCCTTACGAAAGTGCACATTGGTGGCAGTGCCAACTTCCAACAGCTTTGCTACAAATGCTTCTGTAGCAAATGCGTTCCCCTCTGCCCTTGCTGCTCTCTCTGCAGTACTAGAAGGACTAGCAGTTCTGTGTGGTCAGAAGTGACACTAAAAAGTCGATCTGTCTTGCTTATACCATTGATATATTGTCTAATGGAAATGACTGGCAGTTGTGACAGCCTGTAGATCAAGAAAACCTGAAGGTGTTGAAAACAAACATGTCAATTTAATGGTTTATCAAAAGAAATGTGGTGGTGCTGGAGAATGCATTAATCCCATGAGACTGGGTGGTGAAGTATGCCAAGTGGAGAGATGCATTTTGTAAGAGATGTTTTTGCACTTGTCATCACATTTGGAAGAAGCTGGGAACTGTCCCAGTTTCCCATGCACTCTCAAAATGGATAAAAGGCCCTGTTCAGGGTTAAGAATCTTGCTTGCAGTAAGTTTTAATTCCCTAGTGTAGATAATAAATTGCCTGCTTTTTTGTTTTCAGCCTTAACGCAGCACCTACTCCAGCTTGTGGCAGCATTGGCAATTTGAAAGGCACCCCGGTGGCTACTCCCTGTACTCCTCGGCGTCTGAGTTTGGCTGAATCCTTCACCAACCTCCGGGAATCCACGACGACGATGAGCACATCTCTGGGGCTGGTGTGGCTGCTGAAGGAACGGGGCATCTCGGCAGCAGTGTACAATCCGCAGAGCTGGGACAGAGCCAGCAGAGGCACCCTCCTGAACACATACCCCCCTAAAATGGCGATCATTCCTTCTACTCCACCGAACTCACCTATGCAGACACCTTCTTCGTCCCCTCCATCTTTTGAGTTTAAGTGCACCAGCCCACCTTATGACAACTTCTTGGCTTCAAAGCCTGCTAGTTCAATCTTGAAAGAGGTGAGGAATAAAAAGAACATCAGAAACAGCGAGAGTCAGACTGACGTGTCCGTTTCCAACCTTAATCTCGTGGACAAAGTCAAGAGGTTTGGTATCGCCAAAGTTGTGAGTTCAGGGCAAGCATCAGCTCTTCCTTTAACTGAGGACCAGGGACCTCTTCTCTGTGGGGCACAAGGACCAGTGAGGGCCCTTGTTCCTGGAGGCCTGGCACCAGATGGTCTCCCATTGGGCTGCCCTGCCGTGACCAGCACCATCGGGAGCATCCAGCTGAACACTGGCATCCGAAGGAATCGGAGCTTCCCCACCATGGTGGGTTCCAGCATGCAGATGAAAGGCCCGACGTCTCTCACTTCGGGGATCCTCATGGGAACCAAGCTCCCAAAGCAAACTAGCTTACGATGAAGGACTTTAGTTTTACAGCTAGTCTTTTTAAATAAAAACGCTCAGATTCTTTTTCCAATCCTCTCTTCCTTTCCCCACCATCCCTTCATTGCCTCTTGAGTCTGACAAATCAACTTCGTGCCTAATGGGAGAAATGTGTAAACTTTGTACAAAATGTGTAAATATGTACCAGATCTATTGTAACTAATTGGATTATTTTACTGTTCAATTGAGTGTAAAAGACTCTAAGTTATGATTGCTGTATTAAGATTAACTTGCTAACCTTTTGCAAAGGTTTGTTGTTTGTTTTTTTTTTAAGATGCACTGAAAAAAAATATTAAAACCAACAAAAAATAACTTGACTAGGAAAACATGAATTCTGTAGTAGCCTAACTTGATTTGAAGGTGCATGGGAAGCTATTGAATGTGTTTTGTGAGACCTCATATTACATCACTTGAAGCATGGGAGCGGTTGCGCTTCGTTGAATGCTGAAAAAAGCACTCAGTTTAACATGTGGTAGTTTTAATTTTGCTTCTGTAGATGAGTTGAGCTGAGTTATTGGAGTGCCTGGCCATTATGCCTGTGTGGATGATTTTTTTTTTCTTTTTCTGTTCTGTATTTGCCTCCTCCCAGAGGTGGTAAACTTGAACTAATACAGTGTTGAGATCAGCAGGCCTACTGGGTACCTGGTATATTGACATATTCCTTCCACTGCTGTTTCATTTGGCAAGCTTACACACTGCGCGACTTCTTTTAGTTTAGTTTTGGTTTGTTTTTCAATGCTGCACTGGATCGTGGAAGGGAAAATACGTTACTATGTGTTGCTGCCACTGAAACGCGCTTTGTCGGTGCCTCTAAAGAAAACAGTTTTCACAACCCATGAGGTAAATATGGCAGTGGCTTCCTAGAAGTCAAAGTTGCAGAACAGATGGACAGATAAGAATGTTATAAAAGAACATGTAGCAAAACCAGTATTGGGAAAAGGTGCGTCCTTGAAACCTCAGCAGAGAACCACAAAAAGTATTTAGTAACAAAATGGTACAAGCTGGACAGAGCAACTTGCGGTCCTCATGCTGATCTCCAGGTTTCGTGCATGTTGGGGACTATGGCCTTGTAAGCAGGGTGAGAATATTCCCCACCTATTTTGTTTTCTTTTTTCCTAGAAACCTTTTTCCATCCAAAGCTAGACCCTTAGCAGAGGTAAAAATAGGGCAAATGCTTTATCCCATGGTGTTTTTAAACTGAAAAAACATCTCATAACACCACACATATAACCCTTGCTTTTTCAGAAAAGAAACAAAACACCTCACACAACTTTTAGTTGCAGCCAGGTGATCCTAATTTATATTCCAATTTTCTTCTGTTTCTCCCAAACTTACACTGAGTTCAGAAAGAACTGAAATATCTTGGGACAGGAGCAGGCTGGAGGGACCTTGTTCTAGAGCTGAGCTGAAACCAGTGTTTTTTTGGAAGGAGGGGTGGAGAGGAGTGAAGGGGGAGGGTTTAGCATCCACTTTCTTTTCCTTGCACTTCTTGTAGCATCTAAATCAGGCTTCCCATTCTTGTTGCCGTAATCACACTACACGTCATTGCCATGAATTGCCGTTTGTACCAGACTGTTACTAAATCCTTAGCACTGATAATTTCTTGTAGAAATGAAACCGTCTTTTAGTCTTTGTGATGAGAGGTAAGTGGGTGGGTTGTTTGTTTCGGGGTTTGTTTTTTTTTTTCTTTTTTCCTGAATGAAGTAGTTATTGCAGTAGTGCTATGGACACTAAGGATATTTTTTGAGAGAGAAAAACACATCGGTCAGTTACTGCATGTGTTTGAAGACTTCTATTTATTCTATGAACTTAAAATGTTTCAGTAAAATGTCATCAGCTCTCTTTGCTGTTGTATGTGTGCACTTATTGCAAGTAAATTTAAGTATCTTTTTTTTGAATGTATCTTAAAGCAGTAGATAGAATAACAGTTGATTCTGAAAAAAATCATGGACTTAATGGACCATTTTATATACCCAGAGGAAGAAAGCAATACCATATGAGAACTTAAAGTGTAGAAGTTAATCATGCAATCGGGAAGTAGTATTTAGCCTTTAAATAAACAGTAGGAGCTGTCCACCCACTGGAGAAAGCAATTGTAACACATCAGAAAGATGAAATTAAATTTTTCTTCACTAATATCAATAAAATAACAGAAAAGTTGCATTGTTGTGTATTATTCAACATTTTTCTGGTTTTTTTAAAGGTGATAAATATTCGACCTTGATCCCTTGCTTTTGTCTCTCAGAGCAAAGTAAGAGGCTGTTACCAGGTTTGGTTTTTAAATTCTTAGACACAGAAGTAGTTGAAGAGTTTTGAGATTGCTGGAACTGGTGAAACTTGGGTCAAAACAAAAAGCACAGAAGGGAGCACAGTTGTTTATTTTCATTTGCGTTGCAGGAAAGAAACATTGGATGTTGTATGGCTTGTGTATTTTGAGCAGGAGAAGGGTGTGAACTCTCCTGCCTAATACGATGCAAAACCTACAGTGACAAAATGTGAAAGAACAGAGTAAGGAGGAGAACAGCCTGTGTTTTCCAAGGGACAGCAGTGAGGTCTGCTGTTAGCTAATATCGTTGTTACTGAGGGAGGAGATGGCTTGCTGATTAAACACCAGGTGATGAGAACATCCTGCATATGTGGTGAGAGCAAAGTAGTGATAGAAGAGCTCCCTGGAGGAGGGAGTAGTTGGGCAATAAATTATACAAAGATTAAACAGTCTGATACATTGAGGAGAGGGGTGAGTGTGTATAATACTGTGTATGTCACATACTTGCTACGGAGAGAGAACTGGAGAGCTGTAATGCCAAAATAAACTTTTGGAGGGCTTGCATGAGTGTGACGCAGTGTTGCACGACAGCCGTGAGAGACTGATGCTGGGCTGGGCACATCCCAGACTCATCCTTCCTCTGCCCAGTTTCAGGCTCCTGATCAGAGAGTTAATGGTTAACGGGAGCTCTGAGGACAAGCTGAGTTATGCCAAGTGCCACACTAACAAAGGCAGGAGATGAGTCTGATCCTATGGCTTTACCACGAGTAGGATTTGGGATTCAGGTAACTCCTGGGAGGGTGCGTACATGTCAAATGGGATGGAAATCTGGAAACCGTCACACAATTGTGCAGAAGAGAGCAAGGAGGGAAGCCCTCGCACATACCTGCAGTGGAACTTGTTAATGAAAGTTGATGCCTAAGGTTTGAAAAAAGTTCTACTTAGAGAAAACTACATTCTGTTAGCAATAAATGCACTATCAAGATACTGTTCAGTCCATGCAGACCTGATCTGTCCTGTTCTTCTTTAAAAAGCAAATATTCACAGAGACATGGGCCTAGAAGGACTCCCAGTTAAACTGGAGAGTTTTGGCATCGTAGACTGCCTGCAGGTATCTTATTGCCAGACTGTACTACTAAGGCATGAGCATTTTGAGAAAGATATTTTCTCCTATTATAGCTAAAAAAATAAAGTTTTAAAATAGTAATTCAGACTATATTTAGTCTTTTTTTTAACAGGCTCGTATGCTTTATCTGGATTTTGCAGTGGACAAAGTCAGGCATTGATGGCCTCATGCAACGCCTTTCTGGGCCTTTCACAGAATCACAGAATATTAGGAGTTGGAAGGGACCTTGAAAGATCATCCAGTCCAACCCCCCTGCCAGAGGAGGATCATCTAAACTAGGCTGCACAGGAACACGTCCAGGTGGGTTTTGAATGTCTCCAGAGAAGGAGACTCCACAACCTCTCTGAGCAGCCTGGTCCAGTGCCCTGTTTTTCCTCATGTTCAGATTGAATCCCCTATGCTCCAG